TGTGTATCGGCTTGAGGCAGAACGAAGAATCAGTCTGTCTGTCATTTAAAAATTTGACTCAAGAGACCCCACATTAGAAACACGACAGTAGCAGTAAGCCGTGTTGCCACGACGACGACACTAAGAACTCGCCCATATATCGTAAGTGGGATATCGTTATGAGGGATGTTTTAGAGTCCACGCCATACATTCCAGGGGAGCGGCTGGCGCATGATCTAGATCTTCTTCATGATTATGCCAACAGCATCCTGAGGGAGAGGAAACTTATCAATAAACAACAAACTTTCTGGGTAGGCAAAGTAAAGTCACGTCGTGACCTCAAATTATTTTTGTCTTTTTAAAATCATTGTAAAAAATAAAAGTCCGATATTGCTCTCCCTAAAAAAGAAGAATGACCTTACGTATTCGCACAGGGAAGTGATTTAGCCTCAGCTTAAAGTAAACAGACTGTGGATGGATTTAAAGTAGAGGCCAGAAAAGACCCTTAAATTAAAAACGGTTAGATAATCCGGATTAGAGTCATTGTTGTGGAAAAAGACTGTCATATTGATGCCTGTACCTCCTCAGAGAGACAGTCACTGAAGGTCCTATCCTAATTTGCTGAAAGCCTGTTTGAAGAACTGGACAGACATGGGAAATTACTTAACAAAATTGGATCAGTCATCAAGACTTTCACAGACACGTGGCTTTTTGCACATATTCGGTACTCTGATATTTCACTTTGGGGATATCAACACTTAAGAGGGAGGGTTTATGATAACAGCAAGCTGAACTGTTATGCGTACTCGTTTTTCACCAAACATGCTCGGCCGCTATCGCGATCGCCGGCATACCTTTTGTCAAACCAGACGTCTGGCAGTGTTCTGCTTTTAATAACTCTATTGTGCAAAGTCTGTGAGATGGTCGATGTGTTGGAGTAAGGATATAAGATACTGGGGACACAAGCACTGGCAAAGATCTGTACAAGCGTGTTTTGCAGATACGGTGCCGCTGCATGACAAAGCTGTGAGGGGTTCGGCTCATCAATGGGTCCCCGGCATTCTCCGTCTGCTTTCTAGTAGATAGGGCAATTTGGAAATTATTGCTTCTGCCCGGATATCCGTACATAAAAATTCTGATCTACGCCTATAGACCTAGAATAATCCCACCTAATCCAAGTTCACAGTTCATGTCTGGTGAAACTAAAAAGCAACAAATTGTGAACTGTGTCATGCAGCGGCAGAATATCGGCGAAACACGTGTGTATGGGCTTTTAGATAATATCTGTGCTATTAGTATGGTACACCTTTACCCTAAAGTATACTACTAGCTGCCTGTCGGCAGTTAATGAATATTAAGCAATTACCCGCTGAGTCTGATGGAATTTGACCCAAATATTCATATGTAAACTATTCTAGTATGCTTCAATTTAACAGTACATTTCTGAGAAAGTTAACAATCAACAATTATTAATATGCTTATTGTTGAGGATCTAATGCTTCTATTATTGCCTGGCGAATACGAACCGCGGAGGGCCTTAAATTATTATTTTATTGGATTAGTTCCTACGGTGGGCAGTGGACAGACCTCGCACTCTGGGATTGTTATCTGGGGAACGCGTACCAGGCTTTCATGAGGGCATCGGAGACACAATAAGAAAGAGCTATTGCAGTTTTACGGGCTTATCCTGTCGACTAGAAACGTAATAGTTCCCGAACATCAGCGCGTCCTAATACACTCTTGCGCGTCACATTTATTATCGTGGAAAATGTGCCAATTTCAGCCTCTCCCTCCCCTTCCATCTCCTGCGCACCAGTAGAATGTCCGAACCTGTCAAAAAAACTTGTGAAAGTGTGCCAGTCCGCGCCTCCTAGATGTCTGTCGCTGTCACGCTGCCCCCCCCCTGTCCGCCTCACACCCCCTGTCTAGTCCCGAGGTTTGCCGGTAGCCCCGCGAGCGCTCGAGGCCGACCAACGCCGTCCCTCCTCTGATTGGCTGACGACACCGGGGCAGAGCGAAAGACGCACACGCGAAGCGTTCTAAGCTCCTCATCGGCGGACAGAGACAACACAACTTGCCTGGAGAGACCGGTCGCGGTGGCTGCTTGCAGAGCCTCTGTGTACAGACTTCCTCATCAGGAAAAGTACCCCAACCCAACCCGTCTTCCCTGACTTCTGATTTGGGAAGAGCCTTGGGCACAATAACTGTCGCGGCATGAGGGTGTGCAATTACCAAGTGCCACTCCTTCCGCACGCGTCTATAATAATTGGCTTGCCCCTGAAACCGACCACGTGGTGGATGCGCTGAACCAACACAGATGCAGCACTGGAATTGGGAAAGCGTACCCATAACAAATGCTAACGTTCAGGGTACGGTGGCAGGTTTGGTTGCAGACACACGCCACGGGATTGGGGATCCCTGCCGCCGTCATTTCTGTTGTTGTTGAATCCTGATCAAGTGTTTTCCTCGGGTCACGTGGTGTGGTGGTACGCCCAGGTACGAGTTGGCCCCATACTAACCGCCTGCATCCTTTCCCTCTTCTGGTCTTCTAGACCTGGTAACGATAAGGGGGCCAGGTGGGGGAGGAGCCGAGAGCTCTTAGATGCTGCACAAGTCTACTACCACTATAAACTAAGCCGCATCTACCGACCCTGATCCTACGCTGCTGTGAAACCCACGGCGGACATTGCTAAAGTCGACGGTCAAATTGTCATAATAAGGGGCTGTTTGTACTCGATCAAACCTGAAAACGGTGTGCCGTAAGGGTAAGGTGATACCATACTAACAGCACAGGTACTAAAAAAATTCCATACACGCGTGTTCCGCCGATGTTTTACCGCTGCGTGGCGCAACTGCGAGGGGTTCGGCTGGTCACTGGGTCCCCCAGCAATCCCCGTGTTTTTTCTGGTAGGTATCACCTTACTCTAAAGTATACTACTAGCTGCCTGTCGGCAGTTAATGAATATTAAGCAGTTACCCGCTGTGGCTGATGGACTTCGACCGAAATATTCACATGTAAAATATTCTAGTATACTTCAATTTCACAGTCCATTTCTGAGAAAGCTAACAATCAACAATTATTGATATGCCTTTTGTTGAGGATCTAATGCTCGTGTTATTGCCTGCAAATACGAACCGCGTGGGGCCTTAAATTATTATTTTATTGGATTAGTTCCTACGGTGGGCAGTGGACAGACCTCGCACTCGGTGATTTTTATTTGTGGAACGTAGACTATAGAAAGACAGTAATAAAACCGTCGTAACCCTTTTATCCGGGCAAAAGAATGTCCTTGATCTGAATTAGAGCCAAATGACCACATTGCGCTGCACTCTGTGCAGACGATGCGGCAACGAGAGGGTGAAAGAGCCCCACCAAACGGTCAGTAGACTTTGGCTCGTATGCTGATGTATGCACATGCGATATCTAGTTAGGAACTGATGACAACGATTTGTGTCTCAACGTGGAGAAGCATAAAACAAAGATAAAACGAGCACGAATTGAAGGATAACAGAAATGCCTGTCATGATCAGATGCCCGATGGTCAAAATTTTCGCTTTTGCCACCGACTCTCTTCTGCGTTTTCCTGCAGTTCCGCCAGCCCAGCGTGCTGCCCCATCCACTGCTGAACAACTAATGCTCTCGTAGTCCTGAAACTTGGCACGTTGAATAGGGTTTTCAAATGCTCAGCCTATATCCCTTATGTACACTGAATAATAAGAACGCCTTCGGTCGGTTCAAAAAAGTGTTTATACGACATGTTTTTACCACGCTAGCGTGCCACAATTAAGAGTTATTTCTTGGTGAAAAGGGGAATTTCTTCTAGACCGTTTTCATCAACTGGAAGTGGGGGAAGAGGAATAAGTTCAAGGGCGGTGTTACCCTATTTTCAAGTCGCCCACAGTCTTTCTTGCTGGTGGAGCCCCGTGGACGTGGTCCAGATGGAGGGTCGCGTCATTTTCGAAGTTTGGCCTGTGAGGGTGATGAAAAGGTAAAAGATGGGTCTGCCTGGCCATTAAACTGCACCGAGCTGGGGCGTGAAATAATTTGCTGAAGGTTGAGGACGAGAATATGGCGCTATATCAAAGTACGTATGTTAGATGTGCCAAAGATTGTCTGAGGCAGACCGCACAACAACACCAACTGCTTTTGCTATTACTAATATAACTGCTGCTGCCGCTACTACTACTACTACTACTACTACTACAACCACTACTACTGCTACTACTAGTACTGCTGCTGTTACTACTATTGCTGCTGTGGCTATTACTACTACTACTGCTGCTACTGTTACTACTGCCATCAACACTGCTGCTACTGCTGCTACTACAGCTACTGCTACCACTACTACTACTACTACGGCTACTGCTACTACTACTACTATTACAACTATTACTACTACCACTACTACTATTGCTGCTGCTGCTGCTACTACTACTATTACTACGACACCGACGGCTGCTATCAATGTTGCTGCCGTCGCCGTCACTGCCCCTGGTACCGCAACTGTTGCCGCTATTACTACTTTCGCTTCTGCCAACACTATTGTTAATACTATAACGACAACAGTTAATTTCACAGTGGAACAGGGCATATGACTAAGGAGTAGAAGACTTGAAATTTGAGGAGGCACATTTCACAGAATACGTGATCCGAGTTACAGTAGCAGTGACAACGCATAACATCAGCAACCGCTTTTGTTATTACTAATACTGGAACTGCTGCTGCCGTCACAACTTATAGTACTACTGTCATTACTACTATTGCTACTACTACTACTACCACTCCTACCAACACTACTACAACGACCACTGCTACATCCACAACTACGACAGCGACGGTTGTTACCACCACTACTGCCGTTTCCGCCACTGCCCCTTAAACTGCAGCCGTTGCCGCTATCATTATCATCGCTTCTGCCAACGCTACTGTTAATAATATTACTTTTCTTACTGTTTCTCTCACTTACCTTGACATCCACAAATAAGAGACTAAAGGGCCATAGACTTGAACAGTGGAACACGGCCTATGACTGAGGGGTGGAGGACTTGAAATTTGAGGAGGCAGGTGTCACTGAATACGTGATCCGAGTTTCAGGAGAGAAAACGCAACTTCGGCGGGCGAGGCAGGCATTTTCTACGAGGGGTCAATTCGACTTAGAGGGTAGTTGATATGCACATACAGCCAGCTGCGATGGAAAAACAAACGACTGGAAAACAATGATTGGTGTTTGGTACCAATAAAATAATATCAGCGGAGCCGTCTGTTCGTGTTTTATAAACCCCAATATTTTCAGCCCCCGTAAGCCTGTATGTATTTGTACTTTAAAAAGGATGACGAATTCGATCGCCGTCAACAAAATTAAGGACTAAATACTCAGTGAGGCATAACGAGTTCTCAAATATCTCGTAGGTGGGCATCATGTGCCGAGATCGTCCATCCGAGACTTGATTAATGTTGGCTGAAAAATAGGATGTATCGTTTCGGCCACCGGCCGTCTTCTGTTGTTTCCTGACTTCGCTGAACTTGCTGTCCGGCGTGCTGCCACGCCCGCAAAGCCCCCATCCATTACTAACGTTCGAACTCGACACGACCCATAATATGCCGACAGTTAATTGAGGTCTTCCAGCCTACCGTTGCCGACGATGACTTTTAAGTCAAATTTGTCCGATAGGCGGGATAACATTCGAAGCAGAGATTGTCAGCCTATGGGGATTGTAATAATGGAGACGCCGCGGAAACCTGAATTGCGAAATTCACGAAGTGATCATTGTAGGACTGTCAGGTTGTTGCTGCGAGGACTCTGGATCCCAGGTGTCCTCTCAAAAACTCAACCATAAGAAGGGAAAGAATTTAAAATTGCAGATGTCTTTCGAAAAAGACGAAATCGCTTATGTAGTGGTCGTAGGCTAATCGACTGTTAAGACAACTCACGAGAGTACAGTATGTGTGCTAAGTCATATAATGTTAACCGAAATTCTGAAATTCGTTTTCGACTTGAAAAAAAAATTGCATAAATATATCTGGAAAATTTGTCGCCATAAGGCATAATTCCAAATTATTTCAGCTATTTTAAAAATACCGGCATTTCAATGCACTGCCTTCCATCAACCTGCCAAAAAGACACTCTGCAAAAATGACCACTTATTTGATGCGACTATTTCTTATTTATCTTCGATGCAGTCATAAATTATTTTATATTCAAAGTCTTACTCTGTTGGTAGAAAATTACGGCTCCTTCTGATTATATGCTGAACGAAGGGGCATTGTGCGATCTAAAAAAATTTCAGCCCTCGAGTAATTTTGAACCTGACCTGCCGTTAATATTGCATCCAGGGTTTTGAAACCACAAGTTGTTTATTGTGCATTTACATAAGATCATATATTTCTATACGATATTAAGGCGAGACTATATAGGATTTGCGAAATTAAGCAGTAGATTTGAGCCATACGGTAGACTCTGTAAGCAACGTTGGCAAGTGGAGAAACGCGATGTTTCGTGAACAGTTATTTCACGCTCGTAAAAAATCTTATAAAAGGGCATATTTTTAAGCCATATTATGCTCTTCCTTAGATTATGGAACATAAAAAGGTGTAATTTTCTACTAAAAGAGAAAAGAAATGAATGTTTTTATGCATGCTTGTGCACCCTAAGGACAGGGTCGGCAACATCGAAAGAAAAGCTGTCGTCTACAAAATCCCGTGTTCTAGTTGTGATGCCGTTTATTGCGGTCAAACAGGGAAATCTGTCTCAACCCGTATACATGAGCATCAGTCAGCGGTGAAGAGACGCGACCATCTATTCCAGGTGGCCATCCACACACTAGACACTGGGCATACATTCGCATTGGAGAACACTCGCATTGTTGGCGCCTGCCAAACAAGAAAAGGCCGCGAATTCCTGGAGGCAATGCACTCAGAGGAGGCATGCATCAACCGGCATACCGATTTAGATGCCACATACAAAATCGTTAAGGACAGATTCAAACTGAGTCAGCCAATCCCGAGATGACAACATTAACCAATCATGGATTTCTTTTGCCAGACTCAGTCTAAAAGTTAATTGTTTTTGCACACCCGTTGTCTGAAGACACGCTGGGGAACCAGTCTCGAAAATTCACAATCACATTTTGCTGTTTCCCAAAGAACTTCACCTTTCTAATTATACTTCTTGGGATGCCTGTTTTTCAATTTATACGTATTAACTTTGAATTTATAAATGCATCAAAAATCGGTGAGAAACGTTCGTACTAAATAAGTTGACATTTTTTTCCGGTGTAGTGTCTGCCGACTGCCGGAAGGAATTTCATCCAAACTCCGGCATCCCGAAACAACTGAAATATCATGGGATTCTTTTGCATGGGGATTAGTACTATAACCCTACATAAATAATTTTTTCGAGTCGAAAACGTATTTTGTAATTTTGATTATTACTTCGTGAGTAAGCACATCTATTGCATAAACTGCTGTGAAGCATTTGTAGCAGTGATGTTACCAGGCTCTAAAGAAAATTTGTAAAAGGAGCATACCGCGAAAGTCGCAGAAACCACCTAAAATCTCACATGCTTATACGAAAACACCAACCGCTCCGACTGAAACCAGTCATATCGGCTAGGCCGGACGGATTACTTGCGCACACGTCTTGAGAACTTGTGAATCACCACCTATTATAATTTAGACCGTGGAAAGACCGGACTCCAAAAGTTTTCATCAAGTCAGTTTAAAGCAGTTCACTTTCAAAATAGCGGTGCGCATTATCAAAGATATGTAATGCAATATCTGAAAGAAATTTTATTGCGGAGTACCCATCATAATTCTCCTGTCCATGAAATATTCCTTACGCGCGCTGCATTTTTTGGGCCTCGGTAGCACTTTCGGTAGCTTACCATGTCGACTATTTTTAAAAAATGAATAAAATAATTCAGAGCAGACGGTAAATGTGCCACTTCGAGTACAGAGTGTTGTTGTTGACAACTCTGTCGCGATTGTTCAAACGTTAAAGTGATGTCCTAAAGCGTTCCGCTTTAGGTTCACAACATTTTCATATTTGTGTAAATTACTACACCGGGGAGCTAGATTTTGAAATTTTCATATTTGCCGGTGCTATAAAAATGCGCGCGGAAAGCAACTCTGCTGACAATGCCAAAAAGTGGCAATCAAACACAGACAAACTGGGCGTTTTTGGGAAAAAGTTGTGTCTCAAGCGTAATGTATCAAATGCGTTGACCCAAAACAAAACGTCGGCCGAGAGGCATTTCCAAGTGGTTATTGTTTTACTAACGCCCTGAAGTTGGAGATGTAAGGACGCACAAAGTTCTGGGCACGTGGACGGCGTCACGTTTAATGTCGTGAGAACATTTTACGAGGGTAGTCTTAAAAGGCTACTAGTACTTTGCGCTTAAAATATTTTTTTTAATTCGTCGGAAGAATCTTTGGTGTCTCAACCCGAGGCGCTGAAAGGCAGGCAAAGTTGGTAGCTGATCTTGGGGAGTTACTGTAGTAGGGTAGGCTAAAAGAGCTTGATTTGCCTCCCTTATCCTACAGACAACTATGCCGCTGGCTGCGCTGATGATTGTGGCAATCCGGGGACATGACTGCTTGCTGAGAATAGAGGATGTCTTTTATTTTGAACCTATATATCGCTCACGTGGTCACTCGTCGTTAGCGAACGCACGTGACGAGAACTTAGTAAATTATTAATCATTCAACGAGTAATCGGATTATGAAACGCGATCTCACGCGAGATGGCAACGGTCAACAAAACTGTTGATTTTAGAAAAAAGCTTGATTAAGCAATGGTTGACAAAAAGTTCTTCGCCAGCAAGCCTCATATAACACTTTGTAATTTCTTTTCCTTCCACACTGACTGACATTGAATAAGAAGATCTGTTCTCAGCTTGTCGCATTGAAAGCACTTGCAATTTTATGCCGACTGTAGATATGCTGAAATCACTGTATATTTATAAGGCTACGAAGATTCTAACTGCAACTTACTAAATCCAAGCCTATTCAACACACTCGCTCTAACGTTAGAGACATGCGATAACTTAACTAAGCGATTCTACAACTCAAAGTACATCGACACACACTTCTGCTCCAAAAAGTGAGGATTTCCCCGAAAGGTAATGGGGAGACAGCGAACGCAGTTGGGGGTAGATAATTTACCTAGGAAAAACTCGTGCGGTAACTAAAAAATGTCCGCATAGCTTGTTATAGGATGACCAGCTTGTTCTGATAGACCCAAGGAGGTAGGTTTTAACATTAAATGTTTATGGGTATCGTGGCCTTTTGCATCGCCCGATCTTTTTCACAAAGAGATTAAGGTCGAATGAATATCTTGTGGGAAAACTGCTTTTGACCTGCTTACTGATTTCTGCAGTGTCCTGATATAGGCTAATTAAATTCCACAGTAATGAGACTTGAAAATAATTTTTGTTTTCAAACCTGGATGTGATCATGCTTCGCAGCTTGCACAGAGTGTTTGCCTAGAAGTAAATCTAAAATACACACTTTCGGATGGTCGGCTGTCTTCAATACAAAAAACAGTAATTAGGCTGTTGTATGGGAGGTTAAACCGCAGTTTAGTCCAATTGAACGA